GTCCCCGCCCAGTCCCGGCGCGGTCCCCGCCCAGTCCGGACACAGTCCCCGCCCAGTCCCGGCGCGGTCCCCGCCCAGACCCCCACCCCGACACTCCTCACGGGACTCTGGTGGGGACCGTGCCCTGCTCCCTGCGGCGAGCCTGGCAGCGGCTGTGCCCCACGGTCGGAGGGCGCGGCCATGTAAGAGGCAGCTGCGGCAGCGGGAAAACCTAGTACACCTTAACCCACTTTCGTTTTCATTCCATTCTTCACCTGAAAGTTTCATGGGGGAGGAAACACGTCTAAATCACTGGTAAATTTTTTTCCTGTGGAAAAAAGTCCACAAAAATTAGTAATTAAAAACGTAGAGCCAAAAATTAAAAACTGTGTGGAATCCTACAGCCATGGTTGCTGCCCTGCCTGCCTGACTGGAGTCAGTGCTCGTGGTGAGGATGGAGCGGGGTACTGGTCCCCCAGACAGCGCTGGGGAGGGGCTGCTCTCGAGAAGCCAAGGGGAACAAGCTGCGAAGTCCTACTCTGAAAACAGCACCTGTCCCAAACCACACTCCCAGGAGGAGAAGGGTGCACCAAGGCCCATCAGCTTCCTTCACTCGCTCCCTCTCTCAGGCGCCCAGGTGGGCGCAGCACAGCTCACCAGGGCTGCAGGCCCTCAGGCTCCCTCCCCCATCCTTTACAATACAGGCCGTCCGGATTACCAGCAGATTCTGCTCCTCGATCTGTCTGTAAGTCGAATTTGTAGTAAGTTGGAAGTTAGGTGCAGTTCGTATCTAACATCAGCTAGTCAAATGTTGGTGCTAGTACAGAGTGTACAATGCACCTTTCTATACTTACAGATACACTAACACATCTGTAATATAGTAATAATAATAGTTTGATGTGCATCACAAAGTAGTGCCTGTATGTTATTACGAACCACTGTATGTACTTTAAAAAATTTTAATATAATAGGCTTTATGGGGTTGGTTCGTAACTATGGGTTGTACGTAAGTTGGACGTTCGTAACCCAGGGACTGCCTGTAATCCAAAATCCCTTTTAATTTTTGGAGAAAAATTACAAAACCAGCAGCACTTGTCCAGTGACTGGGAAGGTTCCTGGCACCTAACTGGCTCCATTAGATTTAGGGACTAAGTGAAAGACAGTCTTCATTTTTAAATTAAGTTGATAATTCTTAAAAAGCACTTTTTCTAAGGTAACTCATGGTTAACGTAATTACAGTGCACCTCCCACCTTTCACAGGGGCCAGGCCGAGATCTTGGGGGGTCCAC